TATATAGTTTTCTTTGTACAGGTTCTTTGTGTCCCTAGTAAGATTTATTCCCAAGTATTTTATTTTTTTGATAGCTATTGTAAATGGTATTGATTTCTTTATTTCTTTTTCAGCAATCTCTTTGCTGATGTAGAGGAATCCAACTGACTTTTGGATGTTGATCTTATATCCTGCCACTATATTAAATCTCTCAATTAGTTCCAGTAGATTTTTGATTGAGTCTCTTGGGTTTTCTGGTATAGGATCATATCATCAGTAAATAGAGATAGTTTGACTTCTTCCTTACCAGTTTGGATGCCTGTAATTTCCCTTTCTTGCCTTATTGCCCTGGCTAGGACTTCCAGTACAATATTGAATAGAAGTGGTAATAAAGGGCATCCTTGTCTGGTTCCTGTTTGCAAGGGGAATGGTTTCAGTCTCTCTCCATTGAGAACAATGTTGGCTTTGGTTTTGCAGAGATGCCCTTTGTTATGTTGAGGGATGTCCCTTCTATTCTTATTTTGCAGGGAGTTTGGATCAGGAATGGGGGTTGGATTTTATCAAATGCCTTTTCTACATCAACTGATATGATCATTGGTTCTTTTCCTTTGTTTTCTTTATGTGGTGGATGATGTTGATTGTTTTTCTAATGTTGAACCATCCTTGCATACCTGATATGAACTCCACTTGGTCATAATGAATTATTTTTTTGATATGCTGTTGGAGTCTAGTGGCTAGGATTTTGTTGAAGATTTTTGCATGTATATTCATGAGGGATATTGGTCTGTAGTTTTCCTTTTTGGTGATATCTTTGCCTGGTTTGGGTATCAAGGTTATGCTTGTTTCATAAAACAAATTTGAGAGGATTCCGTCGTTTTCTATGTTTTGGAATAGTTTGAATAGGATTGGTGTCAGTTTTCTGAATATTTGGTAGAATTCTCCAGTGAAACTCTCTGGGCCTTGACTTTTTTTGTTGGTAATTTTTTTATGACCTGTTTGATTTCTTTTTTTGTTAGGGGTCTGTTCAACTTTTCCACATCATAGATTTTTTTAAAAAATAGTTTTAGGTTTATAGAAAAATTGTGCAGAAAGTATAGAGACTTTGTATATACCCTCTCTCCCTCATGCATAGTTTCTTCTGTTACTACCATCTTGCATTGTTGTGTCCATTTGTTACCATTGATGAATTATTATAGATACATCCTTACTAACAAATGTCTATAGTCTACATTACCATTCACTCTGTGTGGTACAGTTCTATAGATTTTGACAAATGCATAATGTCATATGTCCAGCATTACAGTATCATACAGAATAGTTTCACTACCCTAAAAATGCCCTGCACCCCACCTATTCATTACCCCACCCCTATCTCAAACCCCTGGCAACCACTGATGTTTTTACTATCTCTATAGCTTTGCCTTTTCTTGAAATGTTAAGTAGTTGGGCATGGTTTAGTTTAATTGACTAGGAAGCAGTGTATTAAAACAAGATCATCCACCTGTAGATCTCAGGCTCAGCCTGTCCTTATTGTTGCTAATGCTAATTGAGACCAGGGCCTCTTCTGCATTATTCTGGCATTAGCAAAGGTACCAGCACTGAGTGGTGGAGTCAGACAACATGAGATCAGATCCCAGCTCTGCATCCTTGGCTGTGACCTTCCCATCCTGAGCCTCAGTTACTTGGTCTCTCAGATGGGGCTCGCTCATTGCCTAAGGCATTTGACTGCTAACCAGAAGGCTGGTGGTTCAAACCCACCAGCCACTCCTCAGAAGGAAGACTGGGCAATCTACTTCCATAGAGATACTGCTTTGGAAACAACTCAATGGCAGTGAGTTTTTTGGTTTTTTTTTCCTCTAGTCTTCAGAAAGTTCTGAATTCTGAAGTATATCTAGCCCCAGGGTTTCAGCTAAAGATCTATGGACCTAGGTAAGGAGTCTTACTTTGCAATGTGGAAAGCCTAGCTCAGGGAGATAGCCGAGTTTCCCAAAGCCACACAGCTAGAAGTTGATGGGGCTGGAATCTGAGTCTAAAGTGACAGGCTCCTCGGTTGGGCTTTCTTGGCCTGACTTCATGCAGCCCTCTTCCCAGTTCCTCTTCCTCTGGTCCTGCCCATGTGTCTGAGGCATCAGGGAGGCCCACTGGGTTTTCAGAGGGGAGAAGGCTTGGGTTCTGGGATGCCAGCTAGGAGCTCACCCTCAGCCACAGCCCAGCGGGACACCTGTCACCAACTGAGTAGAGGATCTGCCCTTCGATTCTTCTGTGAGACCTTACCCGAGCCTTATCCCATCTCTCTGCAGCCTCAGAAGTCCCTGGCCCAGGATCTGGACCTGAAGGTACAGACCCTGGAGAAGACAGTCACAATGAGAGAGAACGTGGCCACCAAAGCAGTCCAAGACCTCCAGGCCACTGCCCAGGAGGTGCTGCAGAAGACGGAGCCCCTCACACAGGTTTGAAGCAGGGCACCTAGGGGAGGACAGCGGCAGGTGATCTGAGGTCTGACACTGCAGAAGAGGAGGAGCAAAGGCAGGAAGTAGCTCTTTCCAGTGCTCCCCCCCGCCAAACTACAGAGAATCTCGGAGGCACCCAGAGCCAAGGCAGGAGTTGTGATTTCCTGAGATTAAGGGAGTAAAGGGGTAAAAGGAGGGTAGGTGGGGACAGGTAGACAGACAAGAGCATCCAGAACCATACCTTACCCTTATTCACTATCTGTTACAACTATGATGGCTCTTCATTCATTCACCAAATATTTAGTGAGCACCTACTTTGACCTGTCA